GGGGGGAGGGGAACGGGGACAGACCATAATTCAGACAAGAGCCAGGGTGTGAAAGGTTATCTGGGGAATGGCCCCAGGAAGCAGCACCCTGAGATTCAGGGAAACCAGAACGGGAAAGAAAGGACACCAGGACGGCTCATAAGCTGTGGAGCTGCACTAGGGACTCCTGCTGCTTTGGGTACCATCTTGCTGGAACCTCTGAACAACTGGGTGGACTGTGTGTGCTCAGCACAGAGCTCCCTGGGGACTGGAAGCTGCTGCGTGGCGGTTCACAACTTCCTCCTCCTGGCTGAAGCTGCTCCTGGGCTGGTCACCGGCCGGCACTTGTAGCCTGTCCCCTCACTGGCCAAGCCTTGTGTTTCTTAGAGGATGCCAAGAGTTGGAGGATGCTGAGGGCTGCAGGTTGGATGTCTGTAGATGGCCTCCGGGCGGGACAAAAGGAAGGCAGTGACTGCCATCCACGCTCAGAACAGAAGCTGGAGCTGGAGTAGGGAGGGTGAATGGGAGGCTGAGGAAGGTCATGAGCAAAGGGCAACTGGGGGTGGGGATAGTGACGACGACGACTGTGAGAGAGGATGGTCTGGACTGTACTGAAGGCCTGGGGCTAGAGAGGGGGTCCAAGCCATTCATGAGAGGCTTAGCCTTTCAGCTCCTTGCAAGCCTGCAGGAGGGTGGGCTGTGGGGCTGTCCTGCATTCGGGGGAGGAGGCAGATACCCTGCTTGTCTCTGTGCAGTAGCTCTAGATCTCCGATCCTGCTGCCTTCTGGCAAGGACATTCCACTGCTCCCCAGGCCCCTCCACAGCACCTGGCACAGCCCTCTCCCCAGCAGTCAGGCTCTGGCTCCTCCGCCTGATGACAGCCCATCCCTCATCAGGGTCTCTGGGCAGCTCAGGAGCCTGCAGCCATCCTCCTGACACGGTCGATGTCGCAGTATTTGACTTGCATGTCCCCGAGTGGTAATGACAAAGCTCCACATATAACCAGATCAATTAAAACCACTACCACCAGGCCCCGGGACTCAATCCGGAGATCCCCTTGGGACCTCAGGGGTGGGCACAGACCCTCCTCAGAACTGAACTGCCGCTGTTCTCCATAACTGCATCTCAGGTGAAGGCCTGAAGCTTCCCTATCACCCCATAAGTGTAACCGCCCCTTACTGAGACCTGACCAAGCCTGTTTGCTGATGTATGCTGCTGAAGCTTCAGGGTACCGTGTGAGTGCAAGGTGAGATAACTGTGCAATGCCCTTGCTTAAGCCTGGGGGGTCTTCTTCCATACATTCGTTTCCCCTTCTCAGAGCCCGCTCAGCTCACCACTGGCCAACCTTAGAATAGCAATCCCTGTAGCACACACCTCCATCCTCCTCCCTTCTCTCCCTACTGGCCCTGCCCAAGCACAAGTCCTTCTCATCATGACAGACCAAGGCCAGTCTCCTGCACCTGCCTGTCATGCTTCTGCCACATCTAGGCTCAGGGCAGGTCACAGGTTGGCTCCCCTGTAATGCCCATGGCCCTGTCCCTCCTAGGTCTCCTGCTATTTCAAGTGATCTCATCACAGAAGAGTTGGAACTCTTATAGTGCTTTTTTTTTTTTTTTTCAACAGCCCACAGTCATTTCCTGCCAGAGCCCTGAGCTCCTGCAGTGCCAGGATGCTTCTATGGCTCATACTCACCTGGTACCTGCACTATGCCCTCCTGCTCGTAGTTGTGGTCAGTAATTGGCTGTGTAATGAATGAGTATGCAAATGAATGAATGAGTAAGTGAATGAAAAGAGAGACACGCATCTCCTGTCTCCTTTTCCAGAATAGCAGAAAGCCCATCCCTGGGCCTCTCTGCTGGGTGCTGTTCAGCCTTTCCAGGTCATATACAGATGCCCCTCTACTTCCAACGGGTCATGTCCTTCTTCTGAACTCATCATAAGTTGAAAATGCATCTCGCACATGCAGCCTCCTGCACTGAATTGAAGTGGAGCACACAGGGCACTGGTATATCAATCATTTCCCTCTTGCCAGTGGGTGCAGCTGACTGAGAACTGCCACTCAGTGCTTCCAGCATTGCAAGAATGTGATCCATGTACCACTATGCCAGGACAAGGTCAGAATTCCAAGACAGTGACTACTTAATATGTCTTGCTCTCATACCATCATAAACTTGACAAACTATTGTAAGTCAGGTTCATCTGTGGTGTGTCCGGCAGGGAAAGCTAGTCACCATATCTTTCTGCCTGCTACCTTCCTCCCACAAAGGTCAGGGCACAGAGAAGCTCAAGAAGCAAGTTCAGAGGTACACACCCCCTCACCCCACTCCGTGTGCGCATAAAGGGTTGTCTGAGTGAGATCAGAGCCAGATTCTCCCAGGCCATGGTGGGTCGAGGCGCTGCGGGAGCTCGGGCAGGGAGAAGGGGAGAGGAAGGGTCTGAAAAAGAGGAGTTAGCCAAAATCTCACAGATCAGCAGCATCTCAGTTCATCTCTAGGACCCGTGAGAAACTTCAGAAAGAGAACAAAGTAGACTGGAAAGAAAGAGCAGGGCCGTCGCCTGAGGACAGGCCAATCCCAGGGCGGGTACTAGAAACACGAGCGTCTCTCCTGGGCCCGGCTGCTAGAAAACTCGCTGCAGGCCGCGCCTGCATCTCAGGCTCACTGTGTTCAGGGACCCGTTGGCTCAGCTGCTTCTGCAAGGACCAAATTAAAGAGAAACCTCAGCACGAAGGCCAGCTTTTTGTCCCACCTGCCTAGAGACTCTCTGGTGCCATCTTGATTACAAAGAGTTGGAGATAGGGGTAGTGATCCTCCTCTTGGGCTGTAGTCTTGATAACAGAGTGTGCGGAGCCAGCAACAGTCTTCTGTGGTGGTATTTACAGTTAGAGCCAACTTGACTATGCTATCATAACATCTTCATTTGGAAGACAGATTCTACCCCATGGGTACGTTCCTAGGGGTTTAAAAAGCAGTCTTGAAAACCTAGGAACGGGGCTGGGCCGAGAGCTAGTCAGTAAAATGCTCGCAACACAAACATGAGGAACAGAGTGTAATCCTCAGGAACCCATGTGAAAAGCCAGCCTGGTGGCTTGTACTTGTCTCTGCCTCCCTATCACAGTCCCAGTGATAGGGAGGCAGAAACCAGCAGATCCCTGAAACTGGCTGGCCAGCTGAGCCTACTTGGTGAACTCCGGGTCAATCTCAAAATAAGGTGAATGGTGTTCCTGAGAAAGACACCCAAGCTTGCCCTCTGGCCTTCATGTGCACCCACATACATATGCACACAGACCCACAAACATGCACACACAAACCTAACCCACGATGTTTCTGAAAATACGCTCTCACATACTGAAGGAGAAAGGAACAAGATGGAGGTCTGTCCCGGGACTCAGTGAGTTCCGTCGGTCCGTCCTTCCCTTCCTGCCCTGGATCAGGTGTGAAAGATAAGCAGCGCTTTGCATGCCTGCAGGGTGGAGCCCCCATAGCTGCAGCCCCCATAGCTGCAGCCCCCAGGCTGCAGAGCTCCTCAGAGGCTGTGCCTTCTCAGAGCCCAGGCAGTGAAACCCATTTGAACAGCGTCCTGCTGATAAAGCGCTGTCCACAGAGCAAGCCCCTGTGGTCGTTTCTGCTGATTTCTGTGGTGTCAGATCTCTGGCGATGGCCACCTTCAAGTCCTCACCAGCATAAGCTCTGGCTTCAAAAGACCCCGAAGATTTAACTCCTGGCTCAAAAGCGGGCAGGAGCCAGCCCTGCAACATCTCTGCCTTTGGTGGCAGGAGAGAATTTGCCGCTTATCCATACTCACAACGTGCTTAGCGATCATGGGCCTCTCCTCGTGTATAAAATGGGGCAACAGTAGTTTCTGTCTCTCTGGGCTGTAGAGGTTGTCAGGTGGGTTGGGACTCAGGGTCTTCCTCTTGAACATCAAGTTTCTGTCAGGTCTGCCATTTGTTTTACACACTAGGCTTTCCGGAAAGGGTTTGTTTGAAGAAAGCGTTCCAGCTGTGCCCCAACCCTCCCGTGCTCACATCTTCTGGGACACCACACACACAGACACACACACCCTATCCCATTTTCTCGGCGGCCCTGGTGTCATTGCTCCGTTTTATTAAAGCAGAAAGCAGTGACAATTATTTTCATAATGAACTGGCTCTTCAAATTAATGCCAATTACACTATGCAATCATGATTAAGATTGTGCATTAATCAACGGTGCCAACCTACTTATTAGCCTCTTTAAATACTGCTCGTGAGGAATGTATGGGAAGGGAGAGAATGGAGATGAGCCAGGGGAATTGAGGAGCTGCCTCCAAGTGGGGCAGGAGCGTTCTCCAGAAGTCAAAGCCCAAAGGAGCCTGTGCTCCACAGGGGCGGGGTTTGTGTTCCACAGGGGCGGAGCTTGTGCTCCATAGGGGCGGGGTTTGTGTTCCACGGGGGCGGAGCTTGTGTTCCACAGGGGCGGGGCTTGTGCTCCACAGGGGCAGGGTTTGTGTTCCACAGGGGCGGAGCTTGTGCTCCATAGGGGCGGGGTTTGTGTTTCACAGGGGCGGAGCTTGTGCTCCAGAGGGGCGGGGTTTGTGTTTCACAGGGGCGGAGGTTGTGCTCCACAGGGGCGGGGTTTGTGCTCCACAGGGACACTGCTTGGATCAGAACCCAGGCCATGGGACACCTGGGCTTCTGAAACTGAGAACTGTGCAAAGGGTGGGAAGACCAAGGAGGGAGAGAGTAGAGCGGGACCCTTGACTGTGTATCACTGAATAAGATTAGAGCCCTTTTTCCTCCCCCAACTAAAGAGAAAAGTGCGGTCGGCACCTCCCCTCAAGGTATCACTGGTGTCGTAGGTCAGATGCCATGGATGCAGGTCTGTGGCGTTTCTAGAGAAATGGGGTGAGCAAGGTCAGTTAGAGAAGGAGGCAGGGCTGGGGGGGGCGTGATGTAATCTCAGCTAAGGATTTTTGTCAGATGCCAGGTGGGAGTGGAGGGGAGCTCTGGGATGTGTGCTGTGCCACAGGGCTATTTCACCATGAGCAAGGGGGCCACAATTCAGAGCATGAGTATCTACCAGGTATTGGCTGAGAGCTGGCACTGCCACCCTGGTGAGTGGCCTCAATTTCCAGGGAACTGGGCTGTCCTCTGAGTTTTGTTGTTCCAGGAATTTCCCAGAATTCCCTTCCCAGACCTATTGAGTGAATTCTCTAGAGAAGGGACAGTTTTCAAGTGAGTTCTGCCTACACCCAGAACCTATTCTGTGAACCTTTGGGACTGGGAGACAGGCAAACTTTGGGGGTCACCTTGCCCTTCCATGTTCACTCAGTGTCCTTCAGCCTTGCATTGTGTTCTAGTCTCTAGAATTCTCTAATGCTACAACCCTTTAATACAGTTCCTCATGGTGTGGGGACCTCCAACCATAAAATTATTTCATTACTACTTTGTGATATTAATGTTGTCAATGTTATGAATCATAACGTAAATATCCGATGTGCAGGATATCTGACGTGTGACCTCTGTGGAGACCCACAGGTTGAGAACCGCTGCTCTAGAGCATCCAATGATCACCTCTTTCTCCAGTTTCTCTACTGGGTTTCTGTCTCCCCGCCCCCCATCCCTGCTGCCCTGGTCCTTTTTCTGCCCTGATTCACCGATGCTGTATGTTGCCATTTTCTCCAAAAGAGCACGAGCTGCTGCTGTCCGTTTGCTGTGGCCAACGTTTCTAATTGTAGGCCTCCGGGAGGGAGAATGGCAAAACACCAGCTCCACCGTCTCAGAAACACCAGAACTCATGCTGCCTCAGTGGCTTCCCCTGGCTTTGCCTCCTAGAGCCCTGGCTTCCAGTTCCCTCCTTTCTCCCTCTGAGGCCCACTTCAAGCCCCTTCACTTCTCTGGGGCTGTCTCCATCTCTCTGGTGCCTCGCTGACGTCAACTCGGTATACTCCTGTTTCTTTGGTACAACAATATGTTACCTGCTGGTTTAACTGCCGCCTCCGTAGTGCTTTTCTTGAGGAAATAATCTCTACAAGATGAAGGCCACCTTTCCTGAAAATCGGGATATAGGCCACAGCCCAATGGTGAATCTGCTGTACTGTTTTTGTCGATAAAGTTTTATTGAAACTTCCATTGATTTATATGTTCTCTGTGGGTGTCTTCATGTTACAATGGCAGAGTTGAGTCACTGCAACAAAGATTAGCTGGCCCAGGAGGGCAGAAATGTTTACTCTCTGGATATCTACAAGAAAAGGCTGTCAGCAGTTGCCCTGGGATATGGAGGCGCAAATTAATTCCATTTTTCTAAATCACACCATTTCCTCCTGTAATGGCTGCCTTTTGAGACCTCAGCATGTCAACACACTCAGCTTTGCTAGTGTAGTTCTCCCTCGGAGCTGTCAACCTTTGGATGTTTACCCCACTCTGAGCATGGACAAACAAGTCTTGGAAACCTGGAGGAGCTTCCTCTGGTGGAGATGGCTAGGTCTGAACCGAGCCACACTGTCGCTGAAGCCTGATGGGAAATCTTTCTATTGTTGTGTGTAAGAATGGAGCCACACATTGCTGGCACCCGGTAGTCATGGTCAGCCAGCCTGCTGGACTGAGCACTGTTGGAAAACAGGATCTATGCTGATGAGGGTCCAGTGGCAGGTTGGCACAGGGCAGTGGGTTTGCATGGAACTGAATGATGTAGGCTAAGTTTCAGCCCGTGTGGAGTTCTGTGTCCCATTGCCTTGGGATGCACAGGGAGTGTTTTCTTCAGATATGAAGCAACTAGAACTCAGGAGCTCTTGGTTTTATTTTGTTTTATTTTTTGGTCTTTTTAATTTGCTTTAAAATTTTTATTTGGCGTTTATCCATTTCTTTGCTTGTGTATTTAGCATAGATGTGCATGTGTGTGCAGAGGCTGGAAGAGGACTTCCCGTGTTCTGCTGTCAGTCCCTGCCTCTTTCCCTTGATACAGGGGCTCTCACTGAGCCCGGAGCAAACTCTCTGCAGCCCCCAACCCCCACATCCCTGGGGCTACAGGCACAAGGACTCCTAGCTTTTTACGTAGATGCTAGAACTCAGATTCCAGCCCTCATGCCCACACAGCAAGTGTTCTTACCCACTGAGCCGCCACACACACACACACACACACACACACACACACACACACACACACGTTTTTAAAAAAGTATTTTGAAGCAGCAGTACATATTTGCTATAAATAATTTGGAAAACTCAAGAAAATATGAAGATCAAAATAATCCATTAACCTCTTCTACCCAGACTTAGTCTATAGTAACATTTGGATACAAATCCTTCCAAGTTTTTTTTTTTCTTCTGTAGCTATAATATTTTAAACCCACTTGATAAACAAGGATCGTGTGATATTATTTGCAGGTTTTTGAGGGAAGAAGATGGCTGCTTTCTATGCTATTAAATATTCTTTAAGAGCATTTTAAAACTTCCCTCACTTCCCAAGCCTTTCCTCGCTGTGGAAGGCTTGCCTAACAACAGCCAAAGCACACGCTCCCTTACGCTTTGACTTTCTAGAAAGTACCACTGTTAACATTTTGGTGTGTGTCCTTCTGGTGTGTCCTTTTTGATTTTAATTGGAATTGCATTAAATTTATAAATTAATTTGAGGAGAGCTGACATCTTTATAATATTGAGCCAGCCCTTCTGGGAGTAAGTTATGTTTCTCCATTCATTCAAGTCTTCTTTTATGTCCCCCAGTAAAGTTTTGTACTTGGCTTGATGGAGGAATTGCACATTTATTGTAAAGCATTTTATTGTTATTATTATTATTTTGCTGTGGCTTTTGTGAGTAGGGTCTCTTTTATTCCTTTCAATTCCTTACTGTTTATGGCTGATATGTAGGAAGGCTATATGTTTTGGGTTATTCGTATGCTGGCCCTGGAGTGAGCTTTTGACTTAGTTGCTTCCATTTTAATCTGATTCCCTTGAGTTTTTAAGGGAACATTAATAAGCATCATCTACAAGCATTGTGTGTGTGTGTGTGTGTGTGTGTGTGTGTTAGAGATATTCATGAGTGTGCACATGTGTGTACATGAATGTATGGAGGCCAAAGTAGGTTGTTGAGTGTCTCTCACCAAACCTGGAACTCAGAGTTTTTTTTTTTGTTGTTTTTCACTTTTTTTGGCTAGGCTGAAGGCCAGCAAGCCTGAGCAGTCCTACCGTCTCCCGCCTGTTTCCCTTCACCTCTGCTCCAGTGATGGGGTTACAGGCTGTGGTAGTTTGAATGTAATTAGCCCCCATAAGCTCATAGGGAGTGGCACTATTAGGAAGTGTGGCTTTGTTGGAGGAAGTGTGCCATTGTAGGGGTGGGATTTGAGGTCTCATATATGCCCGAGCCACCCCCAGTGTCTCAGTTCACTTCCTGCATATCAGCACCGAGCAGCTCCTTCCCCAGCACCATGTCTGCCTGCACACCGCCACGTCCCACCATAATGATAATGGACTGAACCTCTGAACTGTAAGCAAGCCACCCCAGTGAAATGTTTTCCTTTCTAAGAGTTGCTGTGGTTATGCTTTCCCTTCACAGCAATAGAAACCCTAACTAAGACACAGGTGAACAAAGCCGTGCCTGGCTCTTTTTGTTTTTTAATTAAAGACAAGTGCTTGGAATCTGCACTCAGGTCCTCAATGCTTGCCCAGCAAATGCTGTCCCCACTGAACCATCTCCTCGGCCTCTACAAACAATGTTCATTATGTCTTTTCTGATGGCGACTCCATGGGTCTTTTGCGTCTTGTCCGTACCACGATCATCCCAAAAAGAGCTTTGTTGTGAAGACTGTATCACGATTCTAGGGAGATCCATCAGCTACATCTGCATGTGCCCCTCCTGTGGCCCGCCTCTCTGGACCCATGGTCCCTTCCATCCTATGCACCCCCCTTCATTTCAGCTCTTCCTGTATTTTAAAGCAAATTCGCTGTATTTCATCATTCTTTATCCTCATTGTTATGCTCAGGACCTGTTCTACTGTGCAGGTGAGTTTTAATGTATTGAGCAATCCTTTGCTTTGGGACACTGAGGAGACTGTATTTTTTTTAATACTGCTTGAAGCTATCCTTACATATAAATGGGTTTAGACATGGAATTACCATGTCATGTGGTATTTTGATCATTTATTTCCCATTAAGCACATAAACACAGTGGTGTGATGACTCTCTTCATTAGAAATGGTGCCCATGCTCAGTGCAGAACTTTCTGGGGCACACAGAGAAGGAAATGAGTCATCCAGAGATGACCACTCAGAGACAATGACTCTTCACCATCTGACACATTCTTCTCATCGTTTTTACGCTTGTTTGAGAAGGTTTATGCACACCCACACAGGATCACAAGCATGTGAACTCAGGCGTTACAGCTAGGCTAAAGTCCTCTGGGAAGGGATGGATTTGCTTTTTACTTTTTAATATATTCACTATCCTCCCCGATTTCCCTTTGTCTTGGATTATTTTTATTTATTTTAACCTGTTTATGTTGGGGTGTGTGTGTGCGCCCCTGTGCTCACGCACACAAGCACATATTCACGTACATGCAATGCACATGCTTGTATGTATCTGTGGAGGTCAGAGGACAAACTGAGGTGTTGGTCGTCAGGGGCTGTCCACCTTTATTTGACAAGGTTTCTCACAGGCCTGGAACTCACCTAGTAGGCTGGGCTGGCTTGCCATGGAGTCCCATGGATCCTCCTCTCTCAGCCTCTCTGAGACTGGGGTCATAAGCACACACCATCAGGCCTTTAGTTTGGGAATGTAATTTTTGTTGTTTGTTACATGGTGTCCAGGGATCGAACTCAGATCCTCATGACTGCAAGGGAAATATTTTACTGCCTGAACCATCCCTCCACCCCTTCGTTTCTCTTTTTGGTTTTTCGAGGCAGGGTTTCTCTGTGTAGCTTTGCGCCTTTCCTGGAACTCGCTTGGGAGACCAGGCTGGCCTCGAACTCACAGAGATCCGCCTGCCTCTGCCTCCCGAGTGTTGGGATTAAAGGTGTGCATCACCACCGCCCGGCCCCGTTTCTCTTTTCAATAGCCTTAATTTGAGGGAGGCAGTTTTAGGCTCGCAGCAAAAAGGAGCAGAAGGCACGGAGATTTCCCA